ATACGAAGGAGGGCAACGACGAAGGCACAAAGGAGGGCAACGACGAAAGCACGAGGGAGTTGGGAAATGGCAGGTACGAAGGACGACAACGATGAAGGCACAAAGGAGGGCAACGACGAAAGCACGAGGGAGTTGGGAAACGGCAGGTACGGACGACGACGACGACGAAGGTACGAAGGAGGTTGAGAAGGCACGAGGGAGGTGGGAAACGGCAGGAACGAAGGAGGTTGACGACGACGACAAAGGCGGAACAATGGGGGCACGATGGAGGCAGGGAACGGCAGGGACGATGAGCACAGTGATGAGGAGAGCTAGGAAGCGTGAGAAGGGCCCCTTGGTTCGAATTAGGAAGCGTAGTAGGCGTTGCCGAGCGTGCCGAATTAAAATAGGAATATGACGCAATTAAGGCGGGGCGGGATGCTTACCGAATATAGCCTATGCGCGCGCGCGCCCACCATAGTGAGGTGTACATAGTTTTTTTGAAGGTATTTTGAGGAGCTGGGGCACTATTTAACGCTGGTGTAGGGATTTGATGAAACCAAGCCTAATTATAGTTGGCGAGACACGTAACTACCAAGTATAATAAGGCTTATTAATAGGGCAACCCAGGTGGACGCGGCAGTGACGAGGTTTGACGCAGTGTGACGCGCCTGTGACGCGGCATGGAGGAGGTTTGACGCGGTGTAGAGACTCGTGCATCTCATAGTGTGATATGGCGCTTTACACTAGGGAGTATACAGCACCAACTCGCAGCATCACTCTGTGTACCATCCACAGTGATTCCTATATGACGCGCAGCTTTCCCGCGCACCATTCCCGCGCTTCACGATGTATACGCGCGCGCGTGTCCCCGCGCTTGTGCGCCCTATAGCACCAGCCATCCAGATGCATCCATCCACTGTCCACCAAGCTCCCTAGTGCGTATATTTCCATTTCCTTTATTAGCATAGTTCCACCTTTATTTTTATCATAGTTTCTCACTCATATATATTTTTACATACCTACTCGGTAGCGCTTCGGCTCCGCATGAGCGCACTTAGGCGCGCTATATAAGCGCCAGCAGTACATACTATTATTAACCTTACTTTTCCTACTTTTCACTTACTAGTTACTACCCACTTACTACTTAGCAGAATATAGTAGAAAGCTATTCCTTTACATTTTGCACTCTTATATCTCTTATCTTGCTTTATATCACTACTTAAGCTTAGTTTCTCATTTCCGCATACGCGCGCGCACTTTCCCGCGCTTCGCGCTAATACGCGCGCGCACTTTCCCGCGCTTCGCGCTAATACGCGCGCGCATTCCCGCGCCTTTGTACCTTGCGCGCTCCTGCGCTTTCTCGCGCTTCGCTTAAGCGCACACTTCTAGATCCTTGCTGCACTCACTTCCCCTATAGGGTCGAACGCACTTGCTTCTCAAGTAACGCAGACTAGGCAGCGCGCGACCTTACAACTTTTACAGATACAGTCAGGAGCATCTTTTGTTCCTCATTGTATTGTTGTTTCTACAGCGGCACTGACGCGCATGTGACGCGGCAACTGACGCAGTATGTGCTATGTTTGACGCGGCACTGTAGTAGGCCTTGACGCGGTATAGAGTGTGGATGTTGATATTAGTACAGAGACTGCGAAGATATTTGGGAGAACTTGTCTTGGTGTGAGTAGTGTTTGACGCAGCCTAAACGAGGCTTCTGACATGCCATGGTTGGGGCTTGACGTGGTGGTGCAGGGTATAGAGAGTGGATCAAACTTGGCAGGGTGAGGTCGAAGCTTGACGCAGTGAGACAACATTTGACACTGCATCTGAAAACCAACATAGATGAACGAATTAGAGGTAATGCAACAATATAGGACTGACGCGCAAAATGCATACTAGTAGTATGAACGCAGAGGACAAGCACTGTAAATTTGGTGAGAGGTGAATACAGCACTATAGAGCCTGTACGCAGGCAGACACTCATATGTTGATCATTGACGACGATTCAAAGTGTTTGGAATGCGATATGTAGTTGTGTAAACATGATCTGTGAGTAGGAATTTGTTACAGTGCCGCGTCACATATGCCGCGTCAGTGCCGCGTCACAGGCGCGTCACGACCGCGGCAGGCGCGGCAGGGCCGCGTCAATTTCACCTGGCCCGCTCTTTTCGGTTCAAATAAATATAACGACCATTTTTAGCTTGAGGGCATCCACGCGCAGGATCCATTCCAGGAAGTTCTCATCACGAATATTGTGCCATATTTCAATCATTTACATCTCCACCTCGACCTTATGTTTGCTTCACTAGTCTGTCATGATCAATCAATTCTTGTCCTAACAGAGGTAGCATAGTGGTCCCACTGAGATCATAGTGATTTTTGTACCTTCGCCTCGTTTCAGATCATGATGATCTGTCTAGTTAGCAGTTAACACAACGTCTGGATGGGGTGCGGCATATCCTCTCATCAATTATCCCATCCAATGGCGCGCATGCAATAGATCATAAGTAGAACATGGATTTTGAGTGATGTTATTGGGTAGTGTAGGATAGAAAAAGAAAAGTGCGATGATGAAAACAGCATCTTGATCAGAGTGGTGTAAAAAACGTACTCGGTCCGTCTCCTCAGACCCGGGGCTTCGTGGCTCGCGGCCATTTGAAAGATTGAAATACCCGTTGATCTCGTTCCATAGCTTCAGAAAGTAGATTTCGAAGTCCCACATCACATCCTCAATCTACCTCAACAAACATATCAAGCAGCCTTCGCAACCGAGATACCCCCACTCCTCTCCGAACTGATAATCATGATAGTGTATTACATTGTCTAAGCATCAGGGTCTAGCTGAAAATAAGCGGATCAGCGGGAGTGCTGCCTCAACGTGACAGTGAAACATACGCAAGCGATGATTTAGAACGATTGCAAGAACAGCTTCAATCAACTCCGCCTTCGCCCGAGAGCACGAAGATTCTTTCTCCTTCGCCTGAGAGCGTTTGAAAGTCATTCTCTCCAAGGGTTCGAACGGTAACTTCGCCATCCAAGAAGGCACATTTCCTTGATCTGGAAAGACAGCAGTCCTCACGGCTTCTTCATATGTGTGTGCGGCAGTAGCCACAACGTCTTCATATGCCTGGACGGCAGCACTCACAGCTTCCCTGACAGCAGCTGCATGCGGAGATGCCATGTACTGCTCGAGAGCGACATGAAATAAGCGATCAGACTCCTTCTTGTCCTGAAGATAGCGCCGCTTGTCGAAAATGTAGAAAGAGCGTTCGAAGATAATGACAACAGCTAAATGTCCAATAATAAGCAGGTTCATCGCAACTCGGCCTCAAAATTCACCAGAAATGAGCTGAACGATATTCTTCAAGGGTGATGAGTCAGAGGCCTGATAGAGTCGCAACATGAGAAATGTGTGCACAATCGGTAACCAATTGAACATACCGCAGAGAGTAACCTAGACCGTATCTCTACACAGTCATCGTCGTGAAGGTGATCCTATTGAGGGATCAGCGGTGTCGTTCGCTAGCAAGGCTCTGGACTCACGGACTGTCAACCGATCAGTGATATCTTCGGTGAGCAAGGCTCGAGCTCAATGGCAGATAAACACACTCACGGACTGTCGACGGAATCAGCAATTTCAATGGTCAGTGGAGCCCCAATTCGACTGCAGGTCCATGCACTTACATGCTGTGAATGGATGGCCGATGTATTCAGTCAGTATGGCTTGAGTTCGATGGTGGATCGAGAAACTCACAATCTGTTGACAGAGCGGTGTCGTGTTCGGTCAGTTAGAACGACATAGAATCAATACACCCACATCCTAACAATAAATCAGCAATTGCATCGATTAGGAAGGAAGGAGGGCTGCACACTCACAAGCTGGCAACGAATAGACGATATCTTCGGTCAGTAGCTGAAAGTCGGTGAAGGATTGATGTACTGACCTCCTGCCAATAGATGATCAATCGGGTTGGTCAGGAATGCTTGAACTCGACAAAGAATCAATGGACTGACATTCTATGAACGGATCAACAGGCGATGGCTTGATTCAGGAAGGCTACGCTTGATGGAGGATCAAACACTCACACGCTTTGAGCAGTAGGCAGACTTCAATCAGCGTGGCTGGAGCTTGAAGGAGGATTAAACACTCACACGCTTCGGGTAGTGGGTAAAGACGTGGATCAGCATGGATCTTACGCGAACGAAGGTCGACGCACTCACGTTCTGCGAACGGTGGGCAATGACTTGGATTAGCATGGTTCTTGCTCAAACGAGGGTCGATACACATACCAACTGCGAACGGTGGGCAACGACTTGGATTAGCATGGCTCATGATCGAACGAGGATCGACACACTCACGAACTGCGAACGGTGGGCAACGATCTGGATCAGCATGGCTCTTGCTCGAACGAGGATCGAGATACTCACGTTCTGCGAACGGAACGACTTGGATCAGGGTGGCTCATGCTCGAACGAGGATCGACACACTCACGTTCTGCGAACGGTGGGCAACGACTTGGATCAGCATGGTTCTTGCTCGAACGACGATCGACACACTCACGAACTGAGAACGGTGGGCAACGACCTGGATCAGCATGGCTCTTGCTCGAACGACGATCGACACACTCACTGTCTGAGAATGGTAAGCAACGACTTGGATCAGCATGGCTCTTGCTCGAACCAAGATCGACACACTCACCAACTGTGAACGGTGGGCAACGACTTGGATCAGCATGGTTCTTGTTCGAACGAGGATCGACACACTCACCAACTGCGAACGGTGGGCAAGGACTTGGATCAGCATGGCTCTTGTTCGAACGAGGATCGACACACTTACGTTCTGCGAATGGTGGGCAACGACCTGGATCAGCATGGCTCTTGTTCGAACGAGGATCGACACACTCACGTTCTGCGATTGGTGGGCAACGACTTGGATCAGCATGGCTCATGCTCGAACGAGGATCGACACACTCACGAACTGCGAACGGTGGGCAACGACTTGGATCAGCATGGCTCATGCTCGAACGACGATCGACACGCTCACATACTGCGAACGGTGGGCAACGACTTGGATCAGCATGGCTCTTGCTCGAACCAAGATCGACACACTCACCAACTGCGAACGATGGGCAACGACTTGGATCAGCATGGCTTTTGCTCGAACGAGGATCTATACACTCACCAACTGCGAGCGGTGGGCAACGACTTGGATCAGCATGATTCTTGCTTGAACGACGATCGACACACTCACAGGCTGTGAACGGTGGGCAACGACTTGGATCAGGATGGCTCTGGCTCGAACGACGATCGACACACTCACATCCTGCGAACAGTGGGCAACGACTTGGATCAGCATGGCTCATGCTCGAACGACGATCGACACACTCACTGTCTGCGAACGGTGGGCAATGCCTTGGATTAGCATGGTTCTTGCTCGAACGAGGGTCGATACACTTACCAACTGCGAATGGTGGGCAACGACTGGGATCAGCATGGCTCATGCTCGAGCGGGGATCGACACACTCATGAACTGTGAACGGTGGGCAATGACCTGGATCAGCATGGCTCTTGCTCGAACGAGGATCGAGATACTCACGTTCTGCAAACGGTGGTCAACGACTTGGATCAGGGTGGCTCTTGCTCGAATGACGATCGACACACTTACGTTCTGCGAACGGTGGTCAACGACTTGGGTCAGCATGGCTCTTGCTCGAACGAGGATCGACACACTCACGTTCTGCGAACGGTGGGCAACGACTTGGATCAGGATGGCTCATGCTCGAGGGAGGATCGGCACACTCACTGTCTGAGAACGGTGAGCAACGACCTGGATCAGGATGGCTCTTGCTCGAACGAGGATCGACACACTCACTGTCTGAGAACGGTGGGCAACGACTTAGATCAGCATGGTTTTTGCTCAAAAGAGGATCGATACACGAACTACCTGCAAGTAAACGCCCAACGTAAATGAGAACAACCTTCGAACTTTATGATAATCTTACAATAATGTGTGGAAACCAGGCGCCCAATGTCTTTATTATCCTCTCATAACCCTTAGATGTTGTTGTCTCAGCAGAGTCAATATGTTTTGAGAGTATTCTGGACAATATCAGTTACTAGCGCTTGCGGCAGGTGAATGAGACCATAGGTAGTTACCTCTCAACTCCATATTTCATGCAGATCTCCATGCTGGTCTGCTGTGTCGATACGAATAATTGCTGAAGTACTTCATTGTCCAGAGTTCCAGCCGTATGTTCGACGAGAATCCCGCAATCTGCACTATCCTTGTCCATGTCTAATAGATCAACAGTCATCGTGTATCGGGACTCAATCATGAACCGGCTTACTAGGAAGGCATACGTGACATTTTGGAGGCCATCGGACTTCCTTGAGAAACTTCAATTGTGGCCCGTCAGCGAATGACTCTTCAGCGTGTCCCGGGGCCAGCTCCTTAGCGTCTTTCCGAGATTTTCCTTCCTTCCTTAGCTTTGTGAATGCGACGTCGTATAGGGCGTCAAACTTTGTGAATAATACGATGACCGGTACTGAGGATTGTGATTCTGCGCATCAGTCGAACGTCAACGAGGGTGGAATGCGAAATCTTACTACTTCCAGTGTCGCATTGAGAGAAAAATTTATTTTCACCTGCAGTGAATGACCTACTAGCCTCGTCCATGGGAATGCAGTACCTATGTTGAATCTGTGAGACGGCATGTTGTCGCGATTTATCGGTTGCAATTACCAGATGGCATGTAGTTGATTCCTTATGTTCGTTTCCTTGGAACGGCGGGTGATGAATGTCTTGACCTTTTCGAATTCGGATACGCCGCCTGCCTCAAAACCACGTGAATCATGGAAAATGAATCCCGGATTGCTCTCAAACACCATTTCGGTTTCGATGTCATGCAGTCCGCGCTGAGAGCACGTCAGCTCATGGCATCAACTGAGAGCACACCTTACCTCTCTTGATGCCGTCAAAACTGCAACATCGATCTGATGTCGATCAGTCAGTAACATCCTCCTACTAGCAATGTGATGTCCACCTTTTTGCCGGCGCTGTTGTATATTTGTGGATTATCCCGTGTGTTGCAAACTCTCTGCAGGATAGTGGTTTTTCCTGCATTGGCTCTTCCTATGACGAGGATCCGAAAGCGACCGATTTTCTTTCTTATCTTTGCAGGATCCATGATGGGGGAAGTGGTACTAGTAAATGTCAGTCACGGAGAAGCGTTGGTGTAGCCTTATAATCAGTGCAGGGCGTCATGAACCCGGCAAATACCATTCGGTAGTTGGATAACAGGCAATCTTGTCAATATAGGAGAGCTGTGTGCCACATCTGCAAAACTGTGAAATGAACGCTTAACAATATTTAAGTTCGAAGCTATTACGACCTCTTACGACTTGCTGATTCTGAGCTCTGATTGGTGGAGATGCAGATGGCGACACGTAAGTGTTTGCAATGCCCAAAGATTGGTTTTATCGCACACAAGATTAAATAAAGACATGATAAGATGCGCTGATTTCAATCTACTACAACTACTAGACACCAAATGCTACTGCTAGTGTGTGGTAGAGTTCTTTGTCAGCGAAGTTATTGAGAAAATAGTCGTTAAAAATCTCCATCGAATTGCTCGAGTTGACCTCCTTGGCTAATAAAGTGTCATACACAGGGATCAGTTCCACCCCATGAGTGATATCGGTGATAGGAATTATAGAACTACATCGCTTTCTGGACTGTGGCTGCGAGACATTGTGAAAGAATGAGCGCGTGAGTCTCCACATCCCCGTCATAGGCTCAGGTTTGTCTCCGATGATGTCGAAGTGTTGAACATACGCAAGCACCTGATCAAGCGCAGGCGCTTCAATGGGCAGTGCAGTTGGCTGGAACACGGCTCGGACTTGGACTACACAAGGAACTGTGAAATGAATCTAATATTAATATATGCCAGAAAGGTTCTACAAGAACGCACCATTGCTCCTGTTGTTCTGAATGAGAACAGTATCACAGCGGCCGTAGGAGAACTCGCTGGAGGGGGGTTCAGCTTGCAACAATTGACTAGGCATGATGGTGCGCTCGTGGAAAGCTGAATGTAGCTGAATTCGAAACTTGAACCAAGCATTCAAGAGTATCCGGCTGCTATGCATATTGAGATCTCCGTGGTAGTTGATTGTGAAGTAGTGGTAGAGAGCCTGCGAGAAGTCAACAAGGTCATATAGCGTTTGAAGCTCAACGATGGTCAAGCGTTTGCGATCGGGGTTGATGGTAACGTTGAAAGCGATTTTCGCATCATCGGACACGATTCCTTTCAAGAAATG